TTTTTTTTAAAAAAAATCTCAATCTTCTCCAACAAATTGTTTTTCTTCAAAATTCGCCAAGGTATGTGTATATATATCGTGTATATGGATTTGTATATGTATGTGTTGTGTATATATATATATGTGAATGTGAATATGTTATGTGTATGTGTGTATGTATATGTGTATGCGAATGTGTATGTGTTTATGTATGTATATGTGTATGTGTGTGTGTTTATGTATGTGTGTTGTGTATGTATGTGAATGTGAATATGAATGTGTATGCATATATATAAATGTTTATGTGTGTTTATGTGATGTGTATGTGAATATATATATATATGTATGTGTATGTATATATGTGAATATGTATGAATGTGTGTTTATGTATGTGTGTAATGTATATGTATATGTGTATATATATGTATGTGTATGTAAATTTTGTGTATGAATGTGTGTTTGTGTGTATGTGTATATATATGTATGTGTATATAGATTTATATGTGTATATATATGTATGAATGTGTGTTTATGTATGTGTGTGTATGTAAATGTATGTATATGAATATATGTGTATATATATATATATATGTATATATATAAATTTATGTGTATATGTATAATTATGTGCATATGTGTAATATATATGTATGTGTATGTAAATTTATGTGTGTATATATGTGTATGAATGTGTGTTTATGTATGTGTATATGTGTACGTATATATATGTCTATATGTAAATGTATATGTGTATGTGTATATATATATAAATTTATGTGTATATGTGTAATATATGTGTATATGTGTATGTGAATATACGTATATATGTGTATATGTATAATATATTTTTTATATTTTTTTTAAATTAAAAAAAATATTTGCGATGGATTTTTCTGTCGCAAATCCGTAGTAAACGTAGATTTTTTTTAAATATTAAAAAAGATATTTGCGACAGATTTTTCTGTCGCAATTCTGTCGCAAAACTCGGATTTTGTCCGTCGCAACTTTGCGACAGATTAACGACCGGCAAACTTTTGCGACAACAATATACGGACAGAAATGATTCTGTCGCAATCTGTCGCAAATTTGTAATTGCGACCGATATTCTTTTGTATTTGCGACAGAAAAATCTGTCGCAAATTTTGATGTTTCTTGTAGTGGTTTAAGCAAATTCAGGGGTGTAAAACTGCAAAAGAAGCATGGAACACGCTGGAGTTGATTCATGAAGGAACAAAAAATGTGAAACGCACCAGAAGAGACATGCACCAGAAGAGACATGCTAAATGCGTAGTTCAATCACTCAGAATGGGAGAGTATGAATCTATCAAAGAATTCAATGGTAAACTGAGTGCTATGGCGAATGAGGTAGGGGCACTTGGTACAACATACTTTAACAAAAAACTAGTGAAGAAACTCCTAGCGAGTTTACCCATCGGGTTCTTATCTCAGAAAACCTCTTTTCAGATATTTTATGATACTGATACAGTTAGTTTCAAAGAAACTGTACGGGTGTTCGCCGCACCTGAACTGGAACTGAGTATGTATGAGACTCCGTCAGGAACATCTCATAAAGAACCAATTGCATTTCATGTTCTGAAATCTGAACCCAGAAATAAGCTTGAGGAAGATATGTCGCTGATTGTTGATAACACGTATTTTGGGTGATGTTTTGATATAGATGTCTAGCATATTTCACTCGGTTTTACATAATGGTAGACATTCTAGGGTACATTTGGTTTCGATATTGGTTGGTTGTGTTTTTTGGTTTTTAAACAGGAATCGACACATAAAGAGAGACAAAAGGAGTAGAAAACATGAATTACAGAATATCATGGACAAACGGGGAACATTTAGAGTTGTTTCGGAGAAAACGTGAAGCTCAGAAACATCAGATCTTGAAAGTTCAATAACTTTCACTCTACAAGTCCAAATCATGCATTCTCTATTCATTGGAAAGCTCTCTTCGATATCTACGCATAAACGCCAAGATCATCCAAATCCGATATCAGAGCAGAACGTTATGAGCGAATCTGTGAAGCCCGTCAAAACTGCTAAGTGACACGATCGTGTCACTTTCAGCCACACGATCGGGTTACTTACCAGATTTTGGAAATATTCCGAATTTTAGCCCAGAAAAAGAAGGGTTAACTAGGGTTAGCCCCCAAGGCCGAAAACATTCATACTTTTGGCAGAAAACACACCCTAGAGCACACAAAAAGAGGGAGATTATCAAGAGGCAAGAGATCGGAGTAGAAGACGGAGATTACGAAGCCGGAAAATCGACTAAGCATTCTTCCTTTCTTATATTTTACGATGTTTTGTTGAATTGATATGAACCCCGATGTCTCGATGATTAGCGAGTAGTTCCTTAGCTGTAGGTTAGGGATTTTCTATGTAAGGATCTTTGGTTTTTAATTCCAGACTTTGTGAATTTGTTTATTCTATTCAGTTTATTGAATTGTTCTTACTGCGTTCGATCTTGTTAACAGCTTGATTGAATGAACTTAGGGTTTTAATTCACATAGACATATGAGATTCTAACCTGGAAATAATTCAATAAATAAAAGAGGTATTACATCGAGAGATGGATATTTGCCTATGGATTATGATAGCATTCGTTCAAGCATCCAGAGTTTTAGACTATTGAATCGAGAGATTAGTAGAATAAAGCCTGGATAGTGAGATTAGACTTGAGAGAATAAATATCTACTTTAGAGCTTGAATTCTCTAAATTAGATAGATAAACCACTGAGTTTGCATCTTTTGAAAGATTCTTGCATGCAAAGCAATCCGAAGCCTGTAGTGTTCATCATGATGGATATGGTGCTCTGGCCACGATCGGTTTGTGAAACTGATTAAGAAATCCATTTAATGGATTTAGGTGGCCCAATGGACCCGTATGTTTATTAATGAGGTTAATGGGCTTGTTTTCTCTTAATAGTTAAGT